AAAAAAAAAAAGAAAAAAATGTGACTGTGTATCATTTCCGAGCTAAATAAAACAAGCCATGTTGATATGTTGAAAAGTGAATAAACAGCTACATCAAATTCATCAATAAGGATTTCAACGTTATGCAATCATTTAATTAAATCGGAATGACATTACTAAATTAAGCATGTGAGTCAAATCTAATTATCCTTACGCGTATGTATACCGATGACATGCTGACTGGGTGGGTCCATTTCGGCGTTCAAAACTCAACAATAACCTCACCCATCCCCCCCATCCCCCCCCGAACTCCCCTACTCCCCACCACTCAACTCCTCTCCCTTCTCGCCCTGTTTTTTTTCTTCTTTCTTTCTTTCTTTCTTTTTTTTCTTTTTCTCCCGTCTCTCTGCCTCTTCATCCCTACGCTTTACCTTCCATTTCTCTCGCTCTCTTTCTTTGTGTTTTTTTTCCTTCCATTATTCGGTCTCTTTCTCCTTCCAGTTTCCCCCTTCTCTCCCTCTTTACGTTTTTTTTTCCTTTCTTCTTTCCTTTCAACGTTTTTCCTTTCCTCCCTTTCTACGTTATCCCCTCCCTTTATCCCTTTCTTCTCCCTTCGCTATGTTTATTTCTCCATTTATCCCTCCCTCCCTACGTTTTTTCCCTTCCTTCCTTCTGCTCGGTCGCTCACTCTCTCTCTCTCTCTCTCTCTCTCTCTCTCTCTCTCTCTCTCTCTCTCTCTCTCTCTCTCTCTCTCTCTCTGACTATATTTCTTCCTTCCTTCCTCCTCCCTTACTCTTTCGCTGTGCTTTTCTTTTTTTCTTCCTCTCCTTCCCTCCTACCCATTTCCTTCGTTTTTCCTCCTCTCTCTTTCCATACGGTTTTCCCCTTTCCCCTATTTTTCTTGTATCAGCTATTTCTCTCTCTCTCTCTCTTCCTTTTCTCATATTCACATGATAAACAAGCATATATAAGGATTAATATTCCAACTAGAAAACACTCAATAACCTCAACAAATGCACACAAACTATACCTCGGAATATGCGTGCGTGTGCATGTGTATGCGTGCGTGCATATGTGTGTGTGTGTGTGTGTGTGTGTGTGTGTGTGTGTGTGTGTGTGTGTGTGTGTGTGTGTGTGTGTGTGTGTGTGTGTGTGTGTGTGTGTGTGTGTGTATAAATATATATATATATATATATATATATATATATATATATATATATATATATATATATATATATATATATATATATATATATGTATATATATATATATATATATATATATATATATATATATATATATATATATATATATATATATATATATATATATATATATATATATATATATATATATATATATATATATATATATATATATATATATATATATATATATATATACATATATATATATATATATATATATATATATATATATATATATATATATATATATATATATATATGTGTGTGTGTGTGTGTGTGTGTGTGTGTGTGTGTGTGTGTGTGTGTGTGTGTGTGTGTGAGAGAGAGAGAGAGAGAGAGAGAGAGAGAGAGAGAGAGAGAGAGAGAGAGAGAGAGAGAGAGAGAGAGAGAGAGAGTACATGTGTGTATGTATGTGTGATAGTTTACATTGGTAAAGAATCTTTTTGAGTTCATCCGAGATTTTGACGGCGATCTGCTTCATCCATAAAATCTCATCCAATTCGCCTGAAAATTTCTGCCTATTACCTAAACGAACAAACAAACAACCCTCCTCCCCCCTCAAAAAAAAAAAAAAAAAAAAAGTGAAGATAATCATTTGCATTACATATAAAAGCACTTTTAAAGCGTATAAAATATTCAGCTTTATCAACAGACCACGCACATACAAGAGCATTTGACAGCAGAGGCGGCGATGTAGAGAAAGAAAATCGATCATAAATACGAACATTTCATCCGTTTTTCGTTCCCTTTTTCCCTGTCTAAGAATTCTGTTTCGAAATGAAATTAATGTTTATCTGAACATACAGGTGCGTCTTTGTCATTATTCTAATCGACGTCTGTGAAGCTTTACCTTGCATATTAGCTAAGTTAACATTACTCCTCTTGCTTTGATTAAGACGGTGTGTTTGCGCGGCGCTGGGCTCGCGATTCCCTTCTCCTCCCTTCCTCTCCTCCTTTTTTTTCTCTTCCTTCCTCTTTTTCTCTCCATCCCTCTTCCTCTTTCATATTCCTCTCGCGGTTCCCTTGTTTCACCCAGTCTCTGCCCTCCTTTCCTGCCTCTTCCCTTTCGTCCTATTCCTTTACAAAGCTTCCCCTTCCCTTCCTCCCCATTCTTTCGCATCTTTCTTCTTCCTTTCCTCCCCATTTTCTCACACTCTTCTTCTTCCCTTCCTCCCCAGTCGCTCACAATCTCCCTCCTTCCCCTTCACCCTTATTCCCTCACACACTTTTCTTCCTTCCCTTCCTTCCCACTCTTCTTCTTTCCTTCCCTCCCCATTCCCCGCACATTCCTGTTCTTCCCTTCCTTCGCCTCCCCTTCCTATCTTCCTCTCCCCTTCCTATCTTCCTCCCTCCTTCCTTAATCCGCCAATGCCACTGCCGGTCAAGTAAGAGCAGCAATAAAGCTTCAAGTACCTCTTACTCCTCCCCAGGTTCGACCCCTCCCCCCCTTCCCCCTCCCTCCTCCTCCTCCTCCTCCCCCCTCCTCTCCCCCTTAACCCGCCCCATCTTGTCCTCGAAAGAAAATAAATAAATAAGAGAAAAGAAAACTCGGCAAAATAAAGACCCTTTAGCCGGTAATATTCGCTACTCCATATTACTTTCGTTCCGACTCTCTTCCCATTGGTCTCCCCTTTCCTCTTCCTTTCTAATCCTCTACGGTTTTATCTTTCCATTTCCTACTCCACTTTCACCTCCTCCTCCTATTCCTCCTCCTCTTCCTCCTCCTCCTCCTCTTCCTCCTCCTCCTCCTCTTCTTCCTCTTCCTCCTCCTCCCCCTTCTACCTCCTCCTCCTCCCCCTTCTACCTCGTCCTCTTTCACCTCTCCTCCACCTCTTTCTCTTCCATCGCTTCCCCCCATTCCCCCTCCACCTCTTCCACCTCCACCTCTTCCACCTCCGAGGCGGTCCTCACTCCAGACAATGGCCAACCCCTCATTGTGCGCACATAAGCATTCATTACCACGCCGGAGTAACGAGGGAAAAGTGTAATGTGAGTGGTGTAGCGGCGGCGATAGCGGGCGATGGGCGGGGGGAGAGGAGGAGGAGGAGGAAGAGAGCAAGGAATAAGATAAAGGAAGGAGGAGGAGAAGGAGGAGGAGGAAGAAGAGAGCGAAAAATAAGAGAAAGGAGGAGGAGGAGGAGGAGGAGGAGGAGGAGGAGGAGGAGGAGGAGGAAAAAGGAGAGGAGGAGGAGGAAAAGGGAGAGGAGGAGGAGGAAAAGGGAGAGGAGGAAGAAGAAGAAGAGGAAGAGGAGGAGGAGGAGGAGGAGGAGGAGGAGGAGGAGGAGGAGGAAGAGGAGGAGGTGGAAGAAGAATATGAAAATGAAAAGGAGGAGGAGGAGGAAAGAATAGGAAGAGGAACAGGAGAAGCAGAAGACGAAGAAGAAAACGAGGAGGAGAAGAATATGAAGAAGAAACAGCAGGAGAGAGGTAGCGACAGATAATTAAAAGTGACAAAGAGAAAACTCCATAGAACGATACCTTTCCTACTCCATCTTCCCTCCCCCCCCCAAAAAAAAAAAAAAAAAAAGTCAAAAAAGCGAAGAAACAAAAGAAAAAAGGAAAGAAAGGAAACATTTTAGAGGAAGATGGGGGAGAAGGAAAGAGTTTAAGGGGTGGATGGGAGGTGGGGACGGGTGGGGGTGGTAGGAGGGGGGGTGGGGGTCATGGACAGCCGCGGTAGTCTTGTGGGCGGCTCGGGACTCCCTCAAGGCTCGTAGGAGGGTTTTAGTGGGATTGTAGTTCGGTAAGGGGGTGAGGGAAAGGGAGAGGCAGAGGGAGGGGGAGGGGGGGAGGGGAAGAGGAGAGGGGGAAGAGAGGGAGGGGGAGGGGGAAGAAGAGGAGGGAGGAGGAAGAGACGGGGAAGAGGGGGAGGGAAGAAGGGGAGGGAAGAGGGAGAGGGAAGAGGGCGAGGGAAGAGGGAAAGGGGGGGAGAGCGTAGGAAGGAGTAGCGATGAACTGTCCATCAGGCTGGTCCTCTTCCATCGCCTAAGTATTACTTTCTTTGTTCGTGGATTGACTTACTTGCTTTTGTTCTTTCTCCATCTTTTGCACTCTAAGGGTGAAGGAAATGGGCAAACAGTTTCTTCCCATAATTCTGTATTTCCTCTATTCCTACCTTTTTTCCCCTTCCTTCCTCCTTTTCCCTCCTCCCGTCTATCTGCTTATCTGTCCGTCTTCCCCACGACAAAACAACTTTCTCCTTCACATCCCTTCCAACGTCTAGGTTTGCCCTCCTTCCCTCTTCCCATGTTATCCTTTTACCCTCGCAGCTTCTCGCAGCAGTCGACGTTTCCTCAAAATTACCAGTGACTTATGTTCCTTTCCCCCTCCGCCCACGCTTACCCATCACCTATCCAACCACTTACACACTCATAACCCATCACCGGCCACCTACCCACCCACGACCCATCACCGCCCACCAACCCACCCATGACCCATCACCGCCCACCAACCCACCCATGACCCATCACCGCCCACCAAACCACCCATCACCCATCACGGCCCCCAAACCCAGCCATGACCCATCACCGCCCACACCTGAGCCTCACCTCGTGGGAAGGTGCTAAACCCGAGCATTAATTCGCTAGCCGCCCTAATTGGGGCATGAAGGAGGAAGCCTTGTTACACGAGGCGCCAGACGAGCAAAACCCGCGGCCGTCTCAGGTTTTCCCTTCCAAAGGCCAAAGAACAAACATAACAATCCCGAAGACATAAACCCACATCCTTGACGACAACGGATCCTGCAACACCCATCCTGAAGACGAATGATCAGTGTTCTCGAAGACCCGACAAGAACCACGAGCGGGTACTCACCGGAGCGGAGGACGCTGTAGCGCTGGTTGGTGAGGTCGACCGGCCGGTGGTCCTTGTACCAGGTGATGTCCGGGTCGGGGTTGCCTCGGGCGTCGCACACCAGCAGCGCCGTGTGGTCGATCTCCACCGCCTTCGTCTTCGGCTCCGTGCGGAAGTAGGGGAACCCCGCGGGCTGAGAGTTCG